GCCTCCACAGAAGAGGGGGGAGCGGTGCGAGAGATTAACTATATTTATGCAATCGCGTGTTCCACTGGGCCCCGGTAAGTTCCAAGTAGTGGTTCTAGTTCAGTAAAAAGTGTGATTGTTGATAAGTACGCAAAATGCTTTAATTGAATTTAGTGATAAAATGTCCAATGAAACTCGATAAGCTGGAAAGTATATTTTTAATCCTCACATTATTGTCGGCGCGCGACCGTTGTCATGATGTTCAATTGCTGGTAATGTATAACTTTCTTCAATATTTTCCTCCGTCACCTTCACAATTAAAAATCCGTTACAGAAACATAACGGAAACGAACAACAACGGTAACGTCCTGACTTAAATATGACGGAAACATGACTTGACATTTCCGTTCCGCAGACATGACGGAAACTTGATAGAATCGCTTAGACTTGGTCTAACACGTTTCCGCAAAACGTAAATGCAGCGGAAATATGAAGCTCTATGTTTCCGTCGCATTTAAGAAATGCGGAAACGTGGGATTTCGTCCTGTGATGGCGCAATTAAGACACCGAGACATCTGTTACTTTTATTAGGGGTTGCCTCTCTATAAATCTGGTATGATGAAACAAAATTGAAAAATTTGCCAAAAATTAGATTTCCCAAAAAAGGGAAAATTAGAAAACCTTGAAATATTGATGCACGAGATGCATATGCCAATCATCGGCCCATGAATTATTCACCGTCTCCCGCCGTCATAAACGTCGTCTAAGAATTTACTGGAGTCATTAAGTTTGTTTGAACCATGATGGTTATCGCAGTAACAGAAGATTTAGACCAAAGAATATAACAGTCACTCGATACGTTTTTGCGAATAAATACCAGTTTTGAAGACTTTGAGATAAAGGTAGGCCTTCACTTTTTTTCTATAAAAAAATGAACAAAGGTATCTTAAAGCAGTATGTTTACAGAAGTGAGTAACACCTTGGGTCTGAGTCAGAAATGAAGGCATCCTCGAGTAAAAAGTCAAAACGTAATTTGATATGTGCCTTAAATAATGTTATCTTTCGAACAGTTTTGCCTAAGTTTTAAAAACACCCATATTAAGTTAAGCAACTTGGATATAGTAACTTACATAAAAAGATAAAATAAAGAAGCCTCGATCGCTCGGAGAGGAGCAGGTGTTTTGACTTAGTGGCAGGTGAAGCAATTTTTTGGTGAAAATTTATTGTTATCGCGCCCTCGAAAATGTGTTTATTCGGTTTAGGTGCATAGTTTTATATTGTGATTAAATTTCAAATGACTTAGTTTCAATTTTGTGAAATTAAACATAATCTGTGAATTTTTTTTACAGC